CTCCATATATATGGTACCCAATACAATCAACGATGGCTTCGATTATGCACATACGGAAAGGAACTGCACCAGGTAATCATTAAAACTAAACCTGAAGATGCAATTCAGCGGTTTTTTAGAGCATTCTCGGACTTGCGGGTGTTTGTTTTTTATACAGTCTCACGCATAGCGTTGAGTGTACGTGCATGGGCGCTGCCACCCACGGATAATCCCCAAACTGGATAATCCACGCTCGGATAACCGAGAGTACACTGTATTTTAAGTGATATGTGCTTTTGTCACTGAAAATAGTAGCTGTAGCTTGCTACTAATTTATCAGGACGATATCATTACAAAAAACTTTTCCTCTTCATTTTTTCATAATTTCATGGATCAAATATCGTGTTTTCCTCTAGAGAAACTTCTTCCACAATCGCCTTTTGCTGTTTCTTCTGTATCTGTCCCAAATCTATCTCGTTGAGCTCAATTTTAGGTCCTCTAATAATTTCTCCGTGTCTCATTGTTACCTTCCAAGCCTTAAAAACCTTATTTTATCATAATCGATTATTATTAGTTGACTTTCCTTTCCCTCATGATTTCAGTTTTCTGCCGGAATGTAAATTTTAACAATGTAGTATGTAAAATCTAAGTGTGTTCAGAAGCAGTATTTAAGCTGCGTTTCAAGAGTTCGTAGTAGTAGCGGAGTTAGTTCCAGAGTTTATGCTGCGTAATTACTCTCTACAACTGTTCTCTAGTTGGTGTTTGCCACCCTCTTCAGATTATATATATATATAGATTAGATTATATATATAATATCTCTTCAGATTATATATATAGGCTTGGCTTTGCTGTGTGCAGCCGATTTAGCGGTTTAGATAAATAAGAAGCCAGTCGTTTAGTCAATCCCAATTTATTGCGATTTTACATTTTTTTTATTTTCTGTTCAATTTTATTTAGCCAGAAGTGGTGGTGAATTGTGAGCACCCAGTGAGTGCATCTTGTTAAATTTAGTTCAAATAAAAAGATTATTTAATACCTTCTTCTGCAGTATTTGTTCTTCAAAGACATAGCGAGAATTCAGCTATGCAGTCTTCTACATAGGATCTACTGTGAATGCTTGCCAAAAGACATATACACTACAGCCCCATTGTTTTGTTTACAGACTCAGCATAATAACAATATAATAAATAACAGACAATAAAAAACTCCTATAAGCCCTCAAAATCTCTGCCTTCAATACAATCTGGCCATTATTTCCTCCAACCTGAAGGCGTGATACTCTAAGTCAGTGTTTCTCAACCGTCGGTCCGCAAGAAATATTTGCAGAACCTCGAAATATCCAGCTATCTGTCCAAAACCCAAAGTGTCATCGGCCGACAACCGATATTACAACAGCACCTACATTACAATAACAATAGTTTACTAGTCTAGAAAATATGATCGATGATGAAAAATATAACAAACTGAACGCTCTACTTCTACGATGAAAAAGTTATACAATCTGAACGAAACTGAACGATGTGAAGTATGTATCTAATAGCCTTTCATAAATTGCCGAGCCGTACACTTAGTACACTAGTTAGCGTGCCCCTGGTCTGCCTTGAGTATCGCTGATTACTTGAACGCTGAATATCTATCGTAGCGTTTAAGGCGTCTTAGGTTAGGTTTCGCTTTTTATCTTGCTTATATTCTCTGCACGCTTGGACAACTGAAAACTATACACTAGTTTTAATAATCACTGAAATTAATACTGTGCTAGGTAGATTAAAAATCAATAACCAGGATGAGTAAGAAGGAAACGAAGGCACATTATTAAATTTCGTGTAAAGACCAAAGAAAGAATTCTCCAAAACCAAGTACGTCGTCCGCCCCTTCGAATATAGATGAAGGTGAATATAGTCCACAGTATGCCAAAAAAAAGAAAAAACTTTGTAAGGCACTATATCGCAGACTATTTGAAATATGGTTTTGTCCTTTGGCCACAATCAGAAGGAAATTGTCTAAAACCTGAATGTGTTGTTTGCAGAGATGTTCTTTCCAACGAAAGCATTATTGTTTATTCCGATTATTTCAGTTGTTGCCACTTGAGAACAAGACAAGTGGCGCTTCAGGTATGGTAGATAAGGGATCCTCATTCGCTTGTCCAGGGACCGTCACTGATAAGTTTTTATATGCAAAGGTTTTCGTGATTTTTTTTTTAATATTGTGTGATTTTTCTCAAAATTTTATTTACTTATATATGATAATTATACTGATATGTAATAATTGCAACATTTACATAGCTTTACATTTAAATATGATTGTAGGCAAATGGTAATAAGAATATTACGATTAACTTATGTATTAATTCTTTAATACCTTGTAAATTTTTTGGGGGGGAGGGAGAGTGAAAAAAAGCCACCGATCCACGAAATTTTTTCGTACGCTTTCTGTCAGAGCTTTGTTAATGAGACTTAAGTAGTTACAGGCTACCAGGTTATCTTAACCTGTAAACCTTTTTTTTTTTTTTTGTTGCAAATACAGAATTGCAAAGATTACAAGATTTTACTTTTATGAAGTCCGAATTTACGTTTTTTCCTTACCATTAAATATAAACGTTAATAACGCACCAGGAAATCTATCTTAGGAACACATTTATATGTGAACAGCCTTTTTCATTGTTAAAATTTAATAAAAACTCGATTGATCGGTGAGCATCTAAAATCTAAAATCTGTGATGAAGGTAATTTCTAGTAAATTTTTTATAATTGTTTTTATAACTGTTTATAATTGTTTGCATGCAAACATATATACTTTTATTTATACGTCGAAGTAAACTTTAATAAAGAAGATAAAGATACAAGATTCTTATTATTTAATCTCAGGTTTTATTCCATTTGGAAAATTTTCTCTGAAAACTAAGAAAGTTATATATTATATATTATTATAACAGCAGAAATTATATATTAAATTATATATTATTATTATTATTATTATTATTATATATTTAACAGTTTTAAAAAATGATGTATGACACACTTTCCTTGGGACGAAGAGAAAAGGCAGGAGGTATTTAAACTGCTGAGGAAGAAAATCCGACGAATAGCGATCGCCTTTTAGGAAGAGGAATTTTATAGGCTGTATTCCAACTTATCAAGAAAGAATGAGCTGTAACAGCGTTGTCACCTTTTCAAAATTGCTGACCCGGGCATTTTAAAATCAGAATGTTTAGGGAAAAAATATCTCCTTTTTTGTTTTATTCACAGTGAGAAAAAATAAATATTTTTTATTATTATATTTTTAATTTATAATTATTACTTATTGTAATCTTTATTAATATTATTATTAACTTATTTATTATTATTTATTAAAACTATTGAATTAATTAATTTTAAGATTAACAAATTGTTTTGTCTACTTTAATTTTATTAAAAAAATTCAGTAGTAATAAATTTGTAATTGTCTCTGTTAAGCAAAAGGTTTAAATAGCAACAAGACTAAAATTATAAATATTATCTCTAATTATTTATTTTCTTATTACTCTAATTATTATTACGTACGATAAATTTATACATTTATTGTATATAAATATTCAGAACTTGTTGACTTACCTTGAATAATTAAAATAGAAATTAAAAATTTATAAATTGAAACTGGCACATTCGCTTTACAATATGATATACATTTGAGGGTCACAAATTCAAAATTATATTTTTGGTACTCCCGGCCTTGGGATAAGTTTGGGTGGGGCTGACATTATATTCATTAGCAGTTAAAATAAAATACTCGCTAATAATTTTGTAAATTTATTTTATTTCATCACAATTTTAGAATTTCTACGGAAGCCGGACAATTTAATAGATAATCTGGGCAATGAATATAAAACCGGCCTGGTGCAACAATGAATAATACACATTGGTCAAAAAGGCTAAACCAAAATAAAAATCCAATGTTCTTTTGGTTTAGCCTTCTTGTTTGAAACATTTCCCTTAGGTGATTAAATTATTTACAAAATGTGATGCTCTTCATCACATTTTGTTAATAAATTAATCATCTTTGGCTTATTTTATTATTTTCATTTAATTGTTTGATATTTTATTAATTCTGTATTTATCATTAATTTAATTTACTTTATTAATAATATTTGCATTTTATTTTTTTTTTAATTTAATTTAAATATTCATCATTTATTGCTGTATTTTCCATAGGGTTTCAGCACTTAAAATTTTTAGAAATTAAGCTCTGTTATGCGTCAAATAAAACAATGCTATGCTACGGATATTCTTTCTACGCATTCATAAATATAATACCTAGGAATTTTATGTTTCGAATTCTTACAGTAAGGAAAATCAGAAAATATTTTCACATTTAAGGAATTTAAAATAAATAAAGAGCTTTTAAATATATTTACTCAAAATAAACAATAATACATAGTTTCGTATTGTAACAAATTGCTTTAAAAATCATTTATATTCAAATAGTGATTGGCTAAATAGTTAATTGCGTAAAATTAAAAAAAAATAAATAATTCTTTTTTTTTTTTTTTTTTTTTTTTTTTTTTTTTTTTTTTTAAATTTCAAAAAAACTATTCAGTTAAAATTTATTTGCATGTTTTACATATAATAACTGTATATAATTTTACATATAATTTATCTGCATATTATAGAGTAACCCTTATTCTGCTTTTATCAGTTATTTATAATTTCACCCTTTACTTTAACAGCCCTTTTCCGTTTCCTTACCAGAAATGTAAATGAGGAGTTTAAAAAGTTTTTAAGCTGAGGTTTTTGGATTCTAAAACAGAGGGTGTTACTACCTCTCGAGGTCACGTTACTTAGTTTTGCCAGTTCTGATAAGATTTTAATTATTCGGCTGTGCGTTTGCAGCATTATAATTAATTAACTTTTACCTGTCGAAAATGCCACTGAATTAAAATTTGTTTGCACATTTGACATAAATTGCATTATCACCCCTCACCTTCACGATTGGTAAAACAGAAAACATGATCACTAATTTAAAATTTATGCAAAAGCCTATTTTACCTTTTTCTTGGGCTTCTTTTCTTTCGCTTCTTTATTGGCATAAATAACGTTGTTATTTTCTTTGCTCTTGGAATTCGAATCGGTTTCCGACTTCTTACACTTTTTGATTACTTCCTTGACATCTTTCTCCATCCTGACATAGGCCGGCGCTGATCGAGTCATTTTGGAGAAGATACGGAACGTTTTCTGCCCGTTCCGAATTTTTGTCTGATCGCTTTTCGTTTTCGTCAGCATGGTTGAGATTCTGAACTGATGGGGGAGATGGAAGGTGGGAGGGATAGTAGAGCCAGCAGCCAACCAGGAGGAATCAAAACACAACCTTCGAATAGCAACCACGTGCTTGAGATCAAAGAACAATTTGGAGGTTACCGTTGACTGAACTTTGACCTCCGTCGATCAATCCGGTTTTTAGTATTTATCGTCTGTTCCTGTTTTCCCTATAAATGAAAGAGAAAGCTGTGAGATAAAATAGATATGAAAATCATCTCATTACAATCGAATATGATCTGATTTCATATTCCAGAACAATTATCGATTTTAAGGCAAATATGCTTAGATAAAATTTTGTGTTCTAATAGATTAGTGAACCTTGTTCGGATCTCTGCATATATTTTACTTTTTAAATATTTCAATTGCCTATTTTAAATTAAATATCGTTTTTAATAGCGTTATTGCTTTACAGCTGTTAATAAATGTTTACATACATGTAAAAAGAAAAAGCACGATTGCTGAAAAAAATAGTAGAACAATTTACCTGGCTTCGATGACCATATTTACTTGGCTACCGCTAAACTTATGATTTGTCTAACATCAGAAAACCGATATTATTGTTTTCATTGCATGAAAGATTCACAATGCGGGAATGCGGCTTTAATCGGCATAGCGATTAGCGCTCCTAACTGTTGAGCCTGGATTCGAAGCCCGGAAAAGATCTGGATGTTCGTAAATGTACAGTTTTGGTGCGACATGGAAGCACTTAAAATAGTGACAAGCCGAAAGTCCTCTGGAGAGGTTTGGTGCTAGAGGAAGATGAGTACGAGACTCTGGAGTGTTTTCCATGAAAATTAGAATGAGAATTTCTCGCTTGGGGGAAATCGACTGCTTCTTGTGGTGTACCCTGGGCAACGTTCTTCTTATTGATGAGAAGGCTAAATGACGGTGGTTATTGGTCAGTCCCAACGGTCGTACCATTAATCTCCGTTTAGTTTTTTCATTCACTGCAAGTGTCCGGCCATTTGAAATAATAAGAGCAAAAACTAAGAAAGAAATTCGCATAAGCTATCGGGTGAAAAACGTGAAACTTCCTATGAAAAATAGGAAAATGTTGCTTATTTTCTCATATCAAATTAATGACTTATCAATTGAATTACTGCAAGTTTATGAAATATGATATTTTCACATTCCATGGTAAGCGAATGGAGCAACCTTCGCGCCGTATGTTGTGATTACTCAGATAAGCTCTTTGAATTGCCAGTTGACCTGTGTACCCTCTAAAACAGGGGTTCTCAAATAGTTTAGTAAAATAAAAACTGCTTTTATTTAAGTTTTGTTATTTATCAACATTTTCTGTACTCTTATTTATTGCTTAATTTATAAAAACACGTTAAAAATAATTAAAATCTAAATAGTTCAAGTTTGGGAAAGGAAGGGATGACTCATCTTAATGGTGAAAGGAAGCACATAAGACAATACCAGTGGGGGACCAATGTACTAAAGTTTTCTTGATAAGTATGAAATTTAGCATAAATTACAAAATTTCAAATTTTAAATTCGTGTAAAAGGAATAGATATAAATATAAAATATAAAAACCAGCATTTAAAATTTTAATTAAAAAATTCGTATTTTGCAAATCACTTAATCAGTTTTCTCAACTGCTGATCGACTGTTGATAAAATAAAAGTAAAATTATTCTCTTTTAAACATAATCATGCATTTTACATAAAATTTCCTCAAATCTTTCTAATACAGGTAATCTAGGAACAAAAACATAAATAGTAGTTTAACTAAACATGCCAGATGAATTTTCTAGAAGAACCAAAATTCTTAACAAAAATAATATAAATATGCATTCATCTTTTACAATTCAACAACCATTATTTACACCAGTTCTAAAAATATTGGCAGAATTTATACTAATATTTCTTGGTATTTATCCAATTACCAAAGTGCTGATGTCAAATGATTAAAAAATGCTTGTTTCTTGATCATAAAATGTATGTCTATTAAAAACGGATATATATTCAATACTAATTTTTCTACTTGATATATGAGAAAGGAAACTGTAGTCAGTTCTCAATGACTCTTGAGGCCTTTTGAAGTATTAAAAGTGTATCTCTGTGTGTTTGGAAAGAGTTTTATCTTTGGTATGCTGCAATTCAGTGGTCTCAAACTGAAATTGCAAGCAGACCAAATACAAGATCTGAAAGTAGCTAAGTGGCCGCAAGGGGGAAAAATAAGGAAAGAAAAGAAAATTTTTTTGTTAATAAAAAATTTATTAACTAAATTTAAAAAAAATATTACACGTTTGTCAACATATACATATAAAAATGAAGCAAAGAATATATTCAAATTTATACATATTTTCTGCGTGAAATCTAAAAGTTGGTATCTGCAAAAAATTTTTAATGGTCAGATAATTGACGGCTAAATTGTAAGGTATATTTTAATTTTATAACGGTTATTTTAATTTAAACTTTCCTATCTTACCTTACATCTTTCCTATCTTAGCTAGCTACAACTTAAAACTCTCTACTAGAATGAGTTTTTAGAATGCAAATGAGAAAGGGGATCCAAGTCACGTTCAACTGACTTCGACAAAGAAGGTTAAGTCCCTATCACATGTATTTCCTCTACGCGGAACTGGACGTCGAAAGGGACATTTCTCAGAACCCGCACATTTCCACGAAATCTGCCTAGCCTAGGTTACCTCTTTTACTTACTAAACAGATTTGAACGCCAAACAGTAATCGATAAGCTCTCAGGTTGGGATCACGTGATCCTTCAGAAGCAGAACGTTCGTCTGATTGGTTGATCTCTACCCGGGACAGAGCTGCAGACGAAACATTTTCAGCGAAGTTTCAAAATATCCCGCGTAGCTAGACGGGACTTCACTCCCAGTGAAGCTCTTTTTTTCTAGGAATCCTCCCGTTTAAACCAGTGCTACCAGAATCTCCTTCCTCAGAAAAGTACCGTCTAGCGGGGACCGTCGATAGATGTGATATCCCCTTTAAGATTCCTGAATAGCGTGCGTTTGCCTTGGACTACGCACGCTAGTTATCACTATTTGGGCTGCGCACACGCTAGTTATTACTATATTGTTACGCTCTGCTGTATTACGTGCCTTTTGATAGTTCGCTGACTAATTTAATATTACCAGCCAACTAGTTTAGAATTGTGTTAGCTTCGCCTAAGTCTCTTTAGTTAGTCATTAGTTAGTTCTCATTTCTCAAATTTTAAGCCCTAGTTTAGGCTTTGTTGTAAGCCCAAAGAAAGAGACCAACTGTTAATCTTATTTTGAATAAATAAAGGGTAATTAACCCTTTTTGGGTTTAACGTTTTCTGTGCTTGGATTTACGTGATTATTCGCTTGGCAAGGCTCCTCTACACTTAATTTGACAGAATAAAAGTGAGGAACTCTATAAAATACTAAACTTTTCAGGCTGACATTTATTCAAATAATTTAAATATATTGAAGTAACCGTTAAATAATTTATTTTTAAATTAAACTAAAAGGAAATATACGAAAACTTCCCAAGAGGGAATAATGACAACTTACTCTCCTTCTTTTATTTACTAGATTTTCTGTGACGTACACAGAAAAAATAAATATGTGTATGTAAATAACTTTAAACTTCTTTGCTTCTGTTACACCTTTCAGCTACAACACTTCACAGCATTTCGATTTTCATAAAGTTTGTAATCTTGGAGGAACATTACTAGAAAGCATCTTCATCACGAATTGTAGATACTCATCTGCAGTCTGGTTCGTTTAAAAGACTTCTAAATTTTCAACTGCGGTAAAAACTCATATGTAAATGTTCTTCCAAACAAAGCGATTATCTTATTGCAAATTTCGTTAGCTAAGGATATTTATCTTCCGACAAGTGCTAATAATAGATAATCAAATTTTTATCTTCAGATCTTTGAATAAGATTTATATTACTATGTAAATTAATAATAAAAAATTAGACTCCAAACCATTAAAATCGTAAAGTTTTTAAGTAATTTATATATTAAATATATATATTTAATTCATTAAATTAAATTATTTATATTATATTAAATATATATTTATATATATTATTAGTCCAAAGGGGCTTTGTCCCTGAAGGACTATTGTTTGCGTTTTGCGATTTTGCGTTGAATCACTATAAATGTCCGTTTCACTTTTAAAACTGCTGCCACCAAATGTTAAGAGTCCTTCACTATATTTGAAGAAATTAAATAATGAAAAATCTACATAAATGTATGCCAATTTCTCGCACTGTGATAAAACAACGGTACATAGAGCTATCGAATTTTGAATGACGTAATCCTCTTACGAATATGGGCAGGTGGAAGACCTTATTATTGATTTCATATTTTGTAAAACTTTTACGAATTTTTGATTAACAAACTCAAGGATTTCAAAGCGAGCAACGGCAACACTCTACATAAAATTTATCTTCTATGCGCAGAACTGTGTATCGAAAATTCTAAAGCTAGGCTCATTTTAAAATTATTTAGCGATTAGAGTCGTAGCTAGGGTTTTCAGCGGCCAGGAACAATTGAAGATTTCGCGCCCCCTACTGCTTACCAAGGTTGGAAAACATTTAATTCTAAAATATCGTAACATCAGTTTGGCGCCCCTTGGATTCTGCGCCCGGGGACAGATGCCCCCCCTTGCCCCAATCTAGCTACGCCCCTGTTTGCGACATTGCTATTGAACTGAATTTTATGGTTTAAGTGCAAAGAACATGATATTTAATAAATAAAGGTAACCCACAAAACGTTAAAAAACGCCCCTTTGGACGTAATTTAAAATCTGAAACCTTTCTGATTTTTTAAAGTTTTTAATTAATTTATAATTAATTACAAATTATTGTCATAACAGTGCTAAGTAATTTACGGTAATTTGTATTCGCAGGCCCCATAAAATTACTTCGGGAACCGCATGAGGCCTGCGGGCCGCCAGCTTAAGACCGCCGCTGTAATTGATGTAAGAGTATTTAATAAAACAGCGCAGGTAGTAATCATTGCGCTTAAGCCTTTCAAATAAAATACAAAGTACTTGAAAGGGAATTTATTCCAAGCCATTTTCTTAAAGTCTTTCGTATAAGTTTGGATGTAAAAATCCAGGTGAGAAGATAAAGTGACAAAAGGCAGAAGGTGACATTTATGCTGTATGAACTCTAGATAAGAGTCTCTGTAGCCTTTCCTCGAAAGACAGTCGACATT